AAAAAAAAAAGAATAAAAAATAGTTGGTATTGCTCGGCTGTCTCTTTCTCAGTTGTTTCTAGGTGCTCTATCGTCAACTGATGTTTAAGATTGTGACTCTTAAACATTGAGGCTCCACAAATAACATCTTATGTGTTATTATCCTCTGGTTTAAATATACCTACACCTTAATCGCACCCTAATCAGGCGACACAAACACACCTTTATTTGTCCAAACAGTGACTTATTCTCAGGACCGAGCTAGAATATTTTTTGATGGACTCTTTATCTACGTGTTTTTGTTTTGTTAATTTTTTAATTCCGATCGATGAAATTAAGATAATTTATTTATATTCACTTGCTTTATGTTTAATATTTAGGGCTAAAAGCCAATATACATATCATAAATGCATAAAAATAATAAAAAGAGACTAATTATAACTTTTTACAAAAAATAAAACCAGTTGCAACTATTGAAAATTGATTCCTATAAGTTTTTATACGTTAAAAACATTATACGATAACTTCACTGCCAATTCCGTAAACAATCTAATATTCATTGCATCAAATGATCCCATAACTTTTATTAGAAAATTATATAATGACCGGAGATCTCGATAACTACTTCAGACGTGATTGAAGTGTGTCTCATTTGAATGTGGGTCAGGGTGGCAACTTTGAACATGACACAAAAAGACTCGAAATCAATACGATATTATCATATTAGGGTTAACTAATTCTCAACGCGAACTTGAAAAATGATATGATCTATTAATATAAATAATAAATATATTAAATAATTTCAGTTGACACGATAAATATGTTTAACAAGTAAATGCAAATACATTAACCTATTTTTGTTATTTTTTTTATCACGTGACATGAATTATTGTAAGGGAATTTTTTTGGGCTTATTTTTGTGAATATATAGAATTTAATATATTTTTAAAAAATTATGAGTGGTAGGATTGGTTAAGAAGTAATGGGGTCTTGGTGCAATATTTTTAATTCACTGGTTATATTGATAAACTCGAACACACGACACTATTGTTGTCAAAATATGTGACAAAATTAATTAAATGAGTTAGCTTAGGATTACACATACCTAATATGAATACGAAATGACATGATAGGAACGACTCAATTACCAACCTAAGCTCTACACAAAGTAATGAAATGAAAAAAAGGAAATGAACCCTTAGATGGGTGGGTTCCCTTTGAAAAAGTTCACAATACCCACTCATGATCTTTGAATACATAGTCATTTGGAATTCTATTTGATGAACCCAGATCCAACTGGGTCAAGCCCAATTCATGGAGTAAGCCTAAATTGGCTACAAAGCGTGTCAAGCCTAACTCATGGATTCAGCCAGGTCAAAAGTGCAAAGAGTTCAAGAAGATCAGTGTACGTGGGGAGTAATTATCGGGAAAGCTACGCAAGGAGATCACATCTATCTTTAGTTGACCCTATCTTTGGCTGTCGCTATCCACTCCAAAGGACTAATCATCTATCCCTTCACGCTACCGCCTCAACTAAGGCTCTGTGCCTATAAATTGTAAGCTCTCTACACATGAGAGACACATATCTACACCTTTTACACAACTATCTTTCTAATAGCTGCATTTCTCATAGCTACCTCACTCTACCTAGAGCTTGCCCTTGCTCTTTCTCTCCTACTTTCTACTTTATTAATAAAATTTTTCGGTCACTGTCCCCGCCTTCAGTGGTTTGGTCACCTCGGCCCAACCACCAATTCTTTGTCTTTTGTTATTAATTATTTCATTAATTACTCTAGATCACATACTTGACTGTTGATTGTGCATTATCAATTTGACGCCATTTGTGGGAAACGATTGAGTTTTCTATTACCTTTTTAGTTTCGTTCAAATCCATGGCAATCATGATCTTCCTTAATGGCCACTCACCTCCAACAAAGAAGAACCTAGACTTCTAACTGTGACAATTCGAGGACAGTCTAGTGATAAACTTGCCCGACCTCGGGGCAAAGCGGTACCACCCTTGATAAGGAGTAGGATTATCTTGAAGCACGTACGAAGTCAAGAACTCCTCAAAAGGGGAAGGAATGTCAACACTATCGACCAACCGCCATAATGAGAAGAATGCCAGAATCAGCCTCTAACCATTGGAAGTCAACCTCCTTGGAGCTAGTGCTAAGTGACCTAGAATCTGACAAATGAACCCGGGTATGAGAAATCTTAGTCCCGTCTCTAGGACATCCTTGTAAAAAATAATCTCCTTAGAGGAGTCAAAACAAGCTGGCTAATCTTGTTCGGCCTGGCGACATAGGATGGCAAGAGGAATATGGAAAGACGACAATGCGGGTAATGTCATCATCACAGTTTATAGAGCTAAAGATAGAGGATACATTCGAGCCGTCATTATCATTGGTACGCTTGCCTCGAGGGGAATCTGTTACATTGTTCCTCTTCATGCCTTTGTCAAGATGGGCGCCTACCAAAATCAAAGCCAATGTCAAAAATAAAAAATGTATATCAAGGCAAGGGATGAGCAAAAAGGGGCGAACAGATTTAGCTTACCTAGATGAAAGGCATCAAAGTCTCCCTCCTCAGCGAAATCCAGGACGTTGCCTCCACTACTCAATTCGTCTGCTCGTAGATCTTTGCCAACTTTTTCAACGCTAAACAATTATCCGTCGAATCCCAGCCTCCTGGAGGCATTGCCCAACACTCAATTGTCGACGCCAACGTTTGTTTGTTTGTTACAGCCTAACTCCCTATCAGTTAGCCTAAAGTGTCGCCATACCAATAACTCCATGCAATCAGCGTCGCCCAGTGGCTCGCCAAAGCCTCTGGTGCCATTGCCATAGCCTTGGGTGCCTTCACCAGCACCTCCTCGTTTTAGGGCATCTCTAGCAGCTTACGCAGCTAGGGCACCGCCATCCGCGGCGTCGCTAACGTTTCCTCACACAGCCATGGAGCCGCTAGAAGCCAGGATGTCGCTCAAGGTGTCATTCGAACCTCTTGCTGGGGCGCCACCGACCAGTCTCCCACCACATGGCTTTCCGACGCCATCTGGGCCTATGGTCGCCTTCCATGCGACCCAAGTCCGTTCCACTGGCGTCGCCCCTTGCACACAACACGAGGCGCAGCCCATGCAACCAAGAGAGCATCCCACCGCACCATAGTTGTCACCTGCCCAGGCCTCTCCGGTGTTGCCTGCGCCTGGTGCAATGAAGCCTTACAATTGCCCTTGCCCAGTGCCGCCTTGCTCCCTCCACTAGTGCCGTCATCCATGCCCGTGATCTGGCCTCTCTTCTCCCTTGCCATGGTTTCCCCCATGGAGCTCGTCTTTGAGGTTTTTCCCTAGTTTCCATTATTTGCGGAATAGAGGAAAGAAAGGAAATTGCCTAATCTCCGAGGAACTGTATTTGAGTAAATAAAATGGAGTGGGAGAAACCAACTAACCAATGGTATATATATACACCAATTTTTAAAAAGAAAAGGAAAACCCTAAAAGTGGAACCCTAGGCATGAAGAAAGGTTTTGCTATCAAGACCCGTCAGAGGCGACGTTAGCCAACACAGTGTGTGCCTAGCAAAGGTGTTGTCAAAAAAAGAAAGAAATTTTGCAGAGCGTGGAGGTGGGAAGCTATCACCGTGTTGATTAAGAAACCTTTGGCTATTTAGGTGAAGGAGCTCGCTCATACCCTCAATCCTCTTTTGTCACCACCAGACTTGGGGCATGGGCGTAAATGACGAGCCCAGATCCATCTGGGTTAAGCCCAATTTATGGAGTAAGCCCAAGTTGGCTACAAAGCAAGTCAGACTTAATTCATGGATTTAGCCCAATTCAAAGTTCAAGGAGTCTAAGAAGATCAGTACATATAAGAAGTAATTATCGGGATAACCACTCAAGGAGATCACACTTATCTTTAGTTGTATATATCCTTAGTTGTACCAATCCTTAGTTGTACCTATCCTTAGCTGTAACTATCCACTCCGAAGGACTAGTCACTTATCACTTTAAATCACCGCCTCAACTAAAGTTCTATGCCTATAAATTGTAAACCCTCTACACATAAGGGACACATCTCTACATCTTTTACACAACTATCTTTCTTATAGCTACCTCACCCTACCTAGAGCTTGTCCTTGTTCTTTCTCCCACCTTTTACTTTATTAATAAGGTTCTCCGGCCACCATCGCCGCCTTCAGTAGTTTGGTCACCTCGACCCAATTACCCATTTTTTATCTTTTGTTATTAATTGTTTCATTAATTATCCTGCATCACATACTTGACTGTTGATTATGCATAAATCTGCTTTTGTGCATCATTACTATTAGTGATTCAAAAATTAAAATCCCTATTATTGATCAATAAAAAATATATATATTTTTTTAACTTTGACGGAGCGAGGGAATTTTATTTATTAACAAGACAACAATTACAAGAAGCAAATGAAAGGCATAGACGCCTTAACAGAAAACCAACCCAACATAAGGCATAACCGCCTATTAAAATAACCAAAGACTCTAAAGATTTAAAGCAGACAAAATTAGTATGTTCCCAGTCCAGAATCGTCCTAGTAGCCACATCCCTTCATCATGGATTCAAGCCATCAACATGTTCAACATCACACCTCAATCAACCTCCATCATCAAAAATCAGCACATTCTTAGAACGCAAAACAGGCAAACATCTCTGATCTTTACGAATCTTCATCATTACCACAGTAGGCACCTGAGTAGAAGAAAAATCAGAGTAATACCCATCCTTAATTGCCTTATTAGCCAAACCGTCTCCCGCTGAATTTGCCTCACGATATACATGCCTCAGCTGGAAATTCAACCAAGTCATTAGCTGTCGAATTTGTTCTAAAATCCCCAAATAAGGCCAAGAGCACTGATATAGTCCCTTAATAGTGTATATACTACCAAGGAATCTGATTCTATCCATACATGATAGACAAACAAACCATATCTTACCAGCATACTTAAACCGTCCAACATAGCCTTAAATTCTGCTGCCATGTTCGAGCATACCCCATAAAAGAAAGAGGCAGCCAATACCACACCACCCCATTCATTTCTAGCCACCATACCTCCTCCAGCTAATCCCGGATTGTCTTTTGCTGCACCATCCACATTCATCTTCAAAATCCCAGCTTTGGACACTCCCAAACCACCCAAGTAGCTCTAACTTTCATTACATAAGGCACAGATATACCCAATGCTGTCAAAAAACCCCTTTCTTTAGCCCCATCCCTTACCTTTGGCTTAATATTAAACACTTGAAACCTCAAAAGATTACAAACAATAAGAAAAATGGAATATGAATTTTTAAACTCTTCACCAGCTCTTCTTCGACACCTTTCTTTCCAAATCTGCCAAAAAATCAACAAGGCAAAGCTTCTTATCAAGGCACAACCAACAGACTTCCTTTTAAACACTTTACAAATCCTCATCATTCTTACTAAAGGTCTCTCCTTGTCCACTAACTGGAAACCAGCCATTGCAGCCAATCTGAAGAGATTTGGCTAACCAAAGGAGGCATAACAGAAGGAAACCCAACCCCAGATTGACTTACAGAAGACGAAAAATAATTTCTACACCCAGATCTAACTTCAACATTTTCCGAAGAACTCACGGGTTTTGTAAAAAGAGAAGCGAAATTTCTCTTATTGTATGTCATTAGTTATATTTGAGAGTATATATATGTTATGCAATACATCTATTTAGGGTATGAGTGAATTAAAAAAGTTTTTATTTTTTCTAATTTAAATATCTTTCATAATATTTGTGTGAATATATAATAGTCCTCTTGATTCCGACGTATCAATCCGTTTTAGTGTCAATAACATAATTATTATCATAAAAAGACAAGACACTAAGTCACTTGCCACCGTTCAAACTTGTACCAGCCAAATATCTACGAGGATCTCTTAATCATGAGTCAATTACGGTGCCAAATTTCTATTTGCCACCGTATTGCCGGATTTTAGTTTTGTTTTTTGATGTCATATTAATGTTTTTATGGTTCAAAGTTACAATTTTTGCAGCTTAAAAAATTTAGGATTGATCACAGGTAATCTCAAAACTTATAAATGATCTTAAAAAATTATAACTAATTCTTAAAATTTGTAAATGACCCTTAAAAGTAATATATAATCCTTAAAAATTATAAAAATAAACCACAAAATTGTAATAGTGATGTAGTACTCAAAAAAATCTTTTCGATTTCATTAATTATAATCCGATTAACTTCAGAAGCCATTGACAAAAGTTCAATAGTGTTTGAAGGAGAAGACTACGGTATCAATTTTTTATTTTTTGTGATATTTATTTTTATTATTTTTGTGGAACATGTGATCAATTGTAAGTACCATAAAAATGATAAAAAAATAATTAGCATAGAATTTGTAAAATCACTCACAAAAAATATGAAAAAATACACATAAATTATAAACTGTGCTACAGCACTCCTGTGGTTGAATTTACAGTCGTCACAAACCGTCAGTCTTATCAATAAATTTGTGTAAAAAAGCAGGTGCACTGTCATTTCATTTCACATTCACATTCACATTCATATTAGCAACAAAATGATTTGATAGATGGGAACTCTAACCACCCAAGTTTTGTTGCATTAAACATTATCCAGAACAAGGACTGGAATAAATTGGTCATGAGCAGTGCAGACTTTCTCTTGCAACTGTCCATTTTGGATTTAGATGTTCTTTATTGTACTTTTGTTTATTGATGTACTATGAATAGATAATGAATTTGTTTATAAATAATGGGTGTTATTTTATGAAATTAATTTTTAATTTTATCCAACTAACACTTAATTCATCAAAAATAACATTAAATTGACCTTCAATTGTATTAAATTAACATTCAAAATTATAAATTTAAAATTCATAAAATTAACATTAATTTAAAATTCATAAAATTAAAATTAATTAACAAAACATTAATTAATTTGATGAAATTACATGTCAATTTAATGTGACTAAATATAGGATCGAGACCAGTTCAAAAAAAAAAAAAAAAAGGTTCGGCTAGTCGTGATCGATCCTATTTAATTGTAACCACCAGAAATTTAGTTTGGTCTCAATTTTTGGACCATCAAATGCATTAAGATCGATCTTATATAGTCATGATCGATCATAATTGAATGGAATAACAAAAAAAAATTGGTATTGAGATCGATCTTAATTAATCATGATCGATCATTACAATTAAATATAATATTACTACTTGTAACGACAGAGTTATTACTCTTGAGTAAAGTTGAGTTACAAACTCTTTAACTAAGGTTACAACAATTAAAGTAAAATTACTATCTTTAAAAGTGAGATTATAATTATTTAGAATAAAATTACTACCTTTAGATATGAAATAATAACTATTTAAGGTTAGATTACAATTAATAAAAGTAAAAGTACCACATAAAAATAGCTGTTGAAGTTATAATTTTTAAAAACAATAGTACAATTTTTATTGAAAAAGTTATCGCGCCTTTAGTGAATAACTTTCTAATATTTAGTGATAAAAATTGAGGGTCATATATTTTATTTTAATACCGTAACAAATTTTGACCGGACGATACATAGATCTTTTGAAAAAAAGCAGGTGCACTGTCATTTCATTTCACATTCACATTCACATTATGATTTGATGGTTGCGAACTCTAACCACCAAAATTTTGCTGCATTAAACATTATCCAGAACAAGGACTGGACTCTGTGGTACTTCTGTTTATTGATATACTGTGAATAGATAATGAATTTGTTTATAAATAATGGGTATTATTTGAATTTATAGTTGATGATTTATCATTGAATAAAATTAAAAACAATTATTTGGACCTAAAATAAAAAATCTTAGAAATATTTAATACATCTACATCTAACAAATTTGATGGTACTAAAAGAAGGTCACGTGGTAGAATTTGAAGAAACGCAATAAATGATCAGCCATAATTTTATTTCAAAAGAGGAGATAATTGCTTGGGAGGTACCAACAAAGATAACTGTCAATAGAAACAAAACTGTAGAAAATAGTGACTATAAAAGATGGACAATGGAGAAATTAAAAGGCACATTCAAACTCCCAAAAAACCAACGATTTGGACATTTTTAGAAGTAGTGTTAAGTTAGTTTTAAAAAGTAGTTACTGTTGTAATCAAGGCTGTTAATTTAGTCTTTCTATAAATAAAATTCCTTCGATTGAATTAATAAAAAATTATCTTTTATTAGTTCATTATTCTGAGTGTTTATCTCTTTAAAATTCATCTAAAAAAGTTCTGAAGTAAGACAATTGAACTCATCACAAATAATC